AGTGGCTGATGAGCTATTTGGGTTCACACATCCCTCAAGAGAGGGTAATGGCCAGTAGCCATTCTGGAGAAGGGCCAATTGAACTGGGAGAGCAACTACAGGCTGGCTCCATCTAGTGGCTCCTAGTGTCAGGGTGAGGCAAAGCCAAATTCAAATTGACAGGAGGTCAAGGAGCCAAGCTCAAGCTGGCAGGAGGCACATGGAGTATTGAAGGCTGCACAAATTGGGTTCCAGCTTCACAGCCAGTCTGAATTTCAGTAGAACTAAAGGTGCTGGGATGATCTACATCCTAGCCATAAATGTACAGCTGGCTTGCTGGAATTGATTGACACAGATTTGGGCTTTGTCTGATCACTCTGCATACCAAAGATAGCAGAGACATGATCTGTTTTTTTTTTTTTTTTTTTTTTTATCAGTACCAGGGATTGAACTCATGACCACACACTTGCAAGGCAGGTGCTAATGCCGCTGAGCTAAATCTCCAGCCCCCTGGTATTTTCTTTCTTTTTTTCTTTCAGAGACATGATCTGAAGTGAACATTTTTTTCTTTTCTTTTGTTCTGTTTTTTATTGTTTGTTGTTATTTTTGTATGAAAATTATTTCTAGTTTTTTTGTTATTGATCTGTTCTTTTTTAATCCATTTTATTTCAAAAAGAAAAAATAAATTTTTTTTTTTTTTTTTTTTTTTTTTTTTGTCTTTTTTGTTTTTATCGGTACCAGGGATCGAACTCACGACCGCACACTTGCAAGGCAGGCGCTTATGCTGCTGAGCTAAATCCCCAGCCCCCCCCCTTTTTTTAAAAAAAAAAAAAAATTTCAAAACACATCAATCAGGGGTCAACAATGGTACATATATTGTACATTGTCATCCCCAAATCATTCACCCAGAGCACAGTACATCTGCATTCAATTGCCTGAATAATACCAGCACAAATCTTCCTCTTCAAGGGACTCAGAGAAATCAGTAGTATAACTATATTTTTTGTTGATCTGGTCTTGTTGTATTTATTTCTTCTCTTTTTCTTTCCTGTGCTCTTTGCCAGTTTCCCAAAGTTTGTGTAATCTTTTTTAGTCTTTCAGCCTTGCTTATAATCTCTTCCTTTTCATCTATTTCTCTATTTTCCCCCTAACCACTTTTAAATTTCTCCCCTGAGAAAAAAATTGCCATACTGAGGTATATTTATTGTATACAATTTTCTCGTTTGTTTCAGATTTTGTTGTACAATCACAAAACTAGTTCATGCAGTTAAAGGTAGCAAAATAATAATAGATATCACAGTTTGTCATTTTCTAGGTTTGTGTTTGATGCTATTGTTATTGTTGATTGTACTACTTCAGACAAGGTAACATAATTGTTTTAGTCAGTTATTTTTCCTGGTATGCCAAGACTGAAATTGCCTAAGGATCATAAGCAATACTATGGGTTGGTGGCAAACAAGCAGGGGCTAGACTAAATAGGCAGTGACTTTTCATCCCCAGTAAACTGCAGATGTCGGGTCTTGCAACAGATTCAAAATCCAAAAGCTAACTATACCTGGAAGACATCTCTGAGAAGTAGTCGTTTCCTAAGGGTTCTACATACTACCGATAAAGCTACTTTCCATAAGCAATTTACAAGCATCAACCCAGGAATTAAACTAAGACAAATAAAAAATGAGAAGACATTTAATCAAGACGCAGTCCCAGACTTCCAGTTCACCAAAGGCAAACTCAGGAGGCTATGAAGTGGAACAGTTCAAAAGCCACCAACCCGAGCTCTCTGAAGTGGTAATAGTGGAAGTAACAAAGTGAGGCTGTAGAAAAAGTCAAACAGAAATAATGTCTCAGGGCTAGGACTATAGCTCAGTGTGACAGCAACTGCCTAGCAAATCTGAGATCCTGAGTGTGATTCCCAGTACCAAAAAAAGAAATTAATAATCTAAAATATATCTTCATGACTCCCCACAGAATGAAGCTACTAGACAAGACAAAAGGAAGAGATAACAATCATAACTATATATGCACCAAATATCAATGCACTGAACTATATAAATTAAAAAGGGGTTCAGCTCAGTGGCATAAGTGCCTGCTTGGCAAATACAAGGTCATGAGTTCAATCCCCGGTACCAAAAAAACAAAGAAAGGAAAAGGGGGATGGGGAAGGGGACTAGCAACAGAAAAATAACATGACAAGGATAAGTCCATACATGTCAGTTATAACCATTAATGTAATGTTCTCAACTCACCAATCAAAAGAAACAGATTTACAAAATGGATCAAGAAACAAGATCCAACAATATGCCACATTTAAGAAACATATTTAATTCAAAAAGAAATTAATAATCTAAAAGTCAAAGGATGGAAAACAATTGTGACAGAACCCAGAAAAAAGCAGGGTTAACTATTCTATTTGTGGATAAAGTGGACTTCAAGCCAACACTAAGAGAAACAAAGGTCAATAATCATAACTACATATGTACCAAATATCAATGTACTCAACTATATAAAACAGATATTAACAAACATGAAAAATCAAATAAGCACTAACACAACTGTAATAGGGACCTCAATACTCCACCACCATAAACAGATCAACTAGAAAAAAAACAAACAAAGATATTTGAAATGAACCAAACTTTTCAACAATGGACTTAGTACGTAGTGGGGAGCAACTGAAGCTGGAGATCAGTCACACATGCAAGGATGGAGCAAGGAAGTCCCCAGAACAAAGAGTACTGGAGGCAAGCCATGGTGAACAAGCTGCTCAAGTTCAGAGAGAACCAAACACCTGAGGCAATCCAAGCAAAAGGTTGCTAGGCAGAGGGGTGTCATGTGATATCAACCTGCCAAATGTATAAATTAACACTTTGTAGAGTTGAGCAGTTCCTTTCCACCTATCCAGAAAGAGGGATACACCTGACCTCAGCTTTCTGTATTCTGACTCTTTATTTCTCCATCCTCTCTTTACCCCAGGAACTTCAAGAGCTGTGCTGGATGTAGCAGTACATATCTAGAGTATTCTACCCTAAAAAATCATAACATACATTCTTCTCCATTGAACACAGGATGTTATCCAAAATAGACCAAATACTAGCTCATAGTACATACTTAAATAATGCAGAGAGACTGAAATTATCCACACTATTATAAGACCAGAGTGAAATGAAACTGGAAATTAATGGCATAAGCACTTTGTAAACACACAAATTAAACAACACTGTCCTGAACAACCAATGGGTCACAGATGAAATTTTAAAAATACATTAGACTGTTTCTACAATTAAATGATAATGACAATACAACATGCTGGAACTTAATAAAACACAATGAAGGCAGTCTTATAAGGGAAATTTATAGCAGTGAATTCCCATATTAGAAAAACAAATTGAGCTCAAATAAACAACCTAATGTTGAACCTTAAGCTTCTAGAAAAGCTGGTGTGAGGAAGGAAATTATAAAGATCTGAGCAGAAATTAATACAATGGAAACTAAAAAAAAACACAAAGAATCAATGAATTAAAGAGTTGGTTTTTTGATAAAGTAAATAAAACTGGCAAACCCTTAGTTGACCTTATCCAAAAATAGAAATAAAAGACTCCAATTCATGCAATTAGGAATGAAAAGAATGAAATCACAATGGATCCTGTGGAAATCCAGTTGGTTATCAATATCTACTTTGAGAATCTGTATTCTTTTTTTTTTTTTTTTTTGTCTTTTTCGTTTTTATCAGTACCAGGGATCAAACTCATGACCACACACTTGCAAGGAAGGCACTTATGCCGCTGAGCTAAATCCCCAGCCCCAAGGGAGTGCAGACTGGTGCAACCACTGTGGAAATCAGCTTGGAGATTCCTTGAAATCCTGAAACTTGCAGTTTTATCTAACTCGTTGATTCACCTTCTTGGTATCCACCTAAAAGAATTAAAAGCATCACAGGGATATATACACACCCATGTTTAAAAAGTCACAGTTTGTAATAGGTAAATCTTGAAAACATGATTTCCCACCTCCCAAATATCTATCAACTGATGAATGGAGAAAGATGTGTGTTTTAAACCATGGAGTATTACTTTACCATAAAGGTAAGCTTGAGATATTTCTAGCTAAATGAATGCACCTTGAGACCACACAGTTAAGTGAAATAAATTGGACACACATATTTATTTAAATACTATGTTGTTTCTCTGGTATCAGATATCAAAATTGTAAACATGGAACAAAATATTGGGAAATGGTAAGAAAATGTTCAAATGAGAAGAGGATCAAGGGAGGAAGAGAGGAAATATAAACAAAGAACAAGAAAAAAAGAGAAGAGTAGGAAAACATGGAAACAAACCGGGAAATGGGAAAAAAGGAATCAAGATATGGGCAGGTATAAATTCTCTATGATGAATGCTATTGCTATGTATATCTAAAATGTACCAATAAAATTTAAAAATGCAAAGAAAAAAACCAACTTCAATAAAATAATTCTTTCCCCTGTATGGACCTAACTGTCTCTTCTCTTCTATCTTTTGTCCTTTGTTCATCTTTTTGATCCAGTTCTGATATGGGGACTTGAGATGTGAAGAGACATTCTAGTCCTGGCATTTTATTTTTCTCTTTTTACCCAAATGAGGCATGTGGAGGAAGGCAGAATGGAGGAGTTAGATCCTGAGGCCAGCAAAGCAGATTCCTCAGCCACTGATCCCTGGGTGCAGGTCCAGGAAATGGATGGGCTCCCACATACCCGGAGGAGGTTTATGGAGCTGCAGAGAGAAGCCAGAAGAGCCCGCAGAGGCAGAGGAGAGGAGGGAGACTGGGCCAGAGTCCCTAAAGAAGTGAAATTTACCAATTTTGAACTATCCATTGGTCAGGATGAGCTAACAGAGGAGAGCCTGGCAGGTGGAAGCCTGGGACTGCAGGGCATGGGAGGGAAAAGTTGGATAGTTGGGGGAGGAAGTCAGGGATGAGATTGGTGAGGAAACTTCCTTTTGTCAAAAGGGCAGGTTTTGAGGCAGAGCTGCAGACCAGAAACCCACCTGTCTCAGCAAAGCTGATGATCTCATATTCCTGTCTCCTGTTGTCCTCCAGAAGGTCCCCCTGTGGAGGCCCACGGAGGTGCTGCAGTGCAGTCCTCAGAGCTGCTCTGGATACCGGCCGGCTCAGTGTTGGGCGCTGGCTGAGGTGCAGTTTATCTAGGATGCTTCTCTTGGCCAGATTGAGAAGCAGCTCCCGATGGCTCTCCAGATCCACTGCAGGCCACCCACATGTTGCACACTGACTGCTGGGTCTCAGAGTGACCACTAAGACTGGAGTCAGGAATAAAAAGGCCAGAAGCAGTGAGGAGTTCATTGCTTGAACCCTCCTTGAAAAACACAACTCCAGGGCTCAGGGTCTCAACAGTGTACTCTCAACTCTGTCCTGGCGATCAGGGGCTCTGAGAAGAGTGTTGTCCTGGTTGACGACTCCTTTTTTGTGGAGATAAAGCAGCCAAACATCTGTTTTGAAAAATAAAGCCAACTACAGGTAGAACTTGGCAGAATCTGCTCATGCACAGTCAGTGAAAATACAGAGTGGGGGATGTGAGGATAGATTGGTTTGTTTGGGAAAAGAGATGTCCCTGGGCCAATGTGGGAAGATAGCTATTACCCATGTGAGCTGCCAGACCTGAGGACAAAGGTTAGAGATGAAATTTCCCCTTAGATTGCTGGTATATTTGGGAAGCCTGGCAGGTGGGAAGGGGAGTAAACAATTTTTTTAGGTACTAGGAATTGAACCCAGGGCCTTTGCATTTAGCTGTACCCTCAAAATTTAAAAAAAATTTTTTTTTATTTTCAGAGAGCTTGTTTGGAGGGTCTAGCAAGGAAATAAGATACTTGTACATCCTTGACTGAAGAAAGAGTCCTCCTCTATGGGGGTGGTCATCCTCTTTGACCTGAGCCTATAGCTTCAGGAAGGGATGCACAAAGAGGACTGAGGGAGGAAGGGGACACTCACCTATCCAGCTCAATCAGCTAAATAAACTGGCAATCAGTGAAGTGACAAAAGTCACAGCCAGATCACCCTCACATCCAAATTTTTTATTTTGAGACAAGCTCTTGCTTAGTCACTAAATTCTCCTGGCTAGGGTCAAGACTGCCTCAGTTTCCCAGAGTGCTGGAATCACAGGCATATATCATCACTGTGTCTACCCAAAGGTTTTACTCCTGGAGGCTGAGACAGGAGGACTGCTTGTTCCCTGGAATTTTAGGCCAGCCCAGGCAACATACCAAGACTTGGTCATAAGCAAACAAGCAAACAAATAAGTGTGTTAAAGGTTGACTCTCAAGTAGAGACATTTTAGGCCAGTTTTGTTGTTGTTGATTTGAGACAAGGCTCGTTATGTAGTTCAGGCTGGCCTTGAACTTGTGGTGATCCTCCTCCTGAGTGCTGAGATTATAGGCATGTGCTGCTGCACCCAGCTTTTAAGGTCAATTTTATGAGAGTTATTGAGAGTTACATTCCTCTTTGTCAGGTATTGCAGCTGCTGCTTCATATATATATATATATATATATATATATATATATATATGTATATATACATATATATATGAAAAAAGTATATATATTTTAAGAGTAGGACAGTTTATTGGGGAAAAGGAATGGGAAATAGGAATAGCTCCTGAGAGGAGGGCCCTTAAACGGGTTTGCCCTTCAGGTGCTTATTAAAGTCCACCCCCTCCCTAAACCTCCATATTCTCTCTGGAGCTCTCAATCCATCTTTATTTGGTTAACCTTAGTTGAGTTTTGCCTAGGGAGACTCAAAGCTATGAGTCTAAAAGTCCAAAGAAGGGGAGGAAATTGTTTTACTCAGGTTTTTGGTGTCCTCAGAGGAAAGTCTGGCGGCAGAGAAGGGGGTTGAGGATTACAGTTACTTACCTTTTGGAGCTTGTTCTGCCTAGCAAAAGAAATTTTATGATTCCTCAGAATTCCTAGTTACCACCCAGTTTCTCATGAGGCAGAGACAAGAAATCTGAAAGTTCAAGGCCAGCCTGCACAATTTAGTGAGACCTGGTCTCAAAAAATAACAATGGCTGATTGGAGACCAACTCAGTGATACCAGTAGCATGATTACTTGCTTGGCATTTATAAAGCCAAGATTTTAATTACCAATACTGGAAAAACAAACAAAAAAGTCCCAGTTCTTTTCTCCAAAAGTCCAAATTAGTAGGTCTCTGGGAAAAAGAGTCTGTTTGCATAGTAGGGATTTACCTGGCAAGGGTTAAAGGCAGAGGTAGGAGCACATGTTTTTAAACCAAATAGCACTACCTAAAACTGCTCCCCTGTTATGAGGTCTCATTATGTAGCCCAGGCTGGTGTTGAATTCACAGTGATCCTCCTGCCTTAATCTCCCAAGTGCTGGGATTACAGGCATGCAGCAACACACCTGACCGCACAACTTAAAATCTTATCTCTGCCTTTTGCTCTGGTGCTGGTATTAGAAACTCATGCCTAGTATATATTAAGTATTGAGCTACATTTGAGCCTTAGCTCTTCTTTTGATTGCATAGCTCTGAGCAAGTTACTTTTTGTTTCAGTTTCTTCATCAAAAAATGGAAAAATTGATTATTGAGAATTCCAATAAATCTTAGAATCCATAAATTTTGGGGATAACTTTTCTCTAGGCTAAATTGAAGAAAAATGGAAGTGAGATTGTGTATAGTCCTTTTAAAATTCTGTAAGTTTCCATAAAAATCCCCGTAACTGAAACTTTTTGTAAAACTTAGACTTCAGATTGTGAATTGAACTCTGGGAGTGCTAAGATATATCCCCATCCATTTTTACTAATTTTTATTTTGAGACAGTGTCTCCCTAAATTACCCAGACTGGACATGAATTTGCAATCCTCCCGCCTCAGCTTCTTGAATTACTGAGGTTACAAATGTATACCATCATGCCTGGCTTAGAAATATTATTTGAGGGCTGGGGATTTAGCTCAGCGGCATAAGCGCCTGCCTTGCAAGCAGGCCGTCGTGAGTTCGATCCTTGGTACCGATAAAAACGAAAAAGACCAAAAAAAAAAAAAAAAAAAAAAAAAAGAAATATTATTTGATTTTGGGATACTACCATTGAAAGTATTATATAATATAAAGTATATAAGCCATTTTATCTTTTTAGAACTAAAATTTTCTGAATAGGATGTGGCTTTGTAGCAGAGTGCTTGCCTAGCATATGTGAGGTCTTGGGTATAATCCCCAGTAACAAAATAAGTACACAAAAGAAAACATGAAAATTTCTAGACTCTCAATGTTATTAATAGATCTGTAGTGATTATCTCACTAGAGTTTTGGGAATTCAACAATTTGGTAAAGTATTTATGACAATAGCTAACATACAGTGGCTTAATAAAAGCTATTTGTTATTTTTGCCACATAGGTTTGTATACTATCATCTTTACAATAAAAATATTTGCCATGCTGGATGTTTCTTTCCCACATATCCCAACCTGCCATCTACAGTGAAGTCACCTAACAAATCACCTCAGCTGCTTACCATTATATATCTAGACCACTGACTAATCTATGATAAAGTGCTTCAAATAGATTCATTAACCAAGTAAATGTTACAATCCAAGCTGCTTCTTGGAGGTTACACCCAAATCCCTTTCATAGAATTTATGAGTGTCACAATCTCTTGACTCTCTTCTAGGAGGGTTAATGTTTTAAAAGGGGGTTATAATAGTTTCTAGTTAGATTTGTGTTTGGTCTTCTGGCACAAGAGAGAGAAAAAGAGAAAAAACAGAAAAAAAAAAAGAAAAGGCTTTTATTGTGGGCACGGGAGGGCTGCTGAAGTGGTGCAAGCACCCTCTGGAAGTTTCAGGGAAAATAAAATCCTGGGCTTTATTTGGAATTGACAGGGGCAGAGTTAAAGGGGTGGGCATAATGATGTACTGATAGTTGACTGGAGGAGCACTGGTTTGCACATGAAAAGAGGGGGTTTAACTTTTGGGTTCACTAGAAGACCACAGGGAGGTGCTGTCCAGTGCCATGTGAATCTGTACATGGGAAAAAACCAGTCATTCCTGTCTTTTGATTAAGAGACACGTTAGGGCTGGAGATTTAGCTCGGCAGCATAAGCACCTGTCTGTCAAGCAGGAGGTCATGAGTTCAATCCTCAGTACAGAGAGAGAGAGAGAGGATTTGTCTCTCTGGCTACTTCCTGTAAATAGGGGTGTCATGTCAGGGGTTAGAGGGTTGATGGGATGATAGATAGGCTTCACATGATCTCACGTGGTGCTTATGTTGCTGAGGATGAGGAATTCTTTGTAGTGAATGCACAGATCCTGGATTGAATGAACCTTGAAAGAAGTTTAAAGACACAAGGATATGAGCAAAAAAAAAAGATGATGGTGATGAGGGAGTCTAAGACGGGAAGTAGGATATGGGCCTATGAATCTAATGTAGGCCACCAAGAAAACCAGGGAGTGGAACCAAAGGCTTTGTATCTCTTTTCAAATTCCATTGCAAGTTCTCTGAGTTTCTTTACCTGTCCTTTTAGGACATCTGATTGATTTATAAAATAACAACATTCTTCCCCCAACATTGCACAGTATCCCCCCTTTTCAGCTGTGAGTACATTGAGAACACATCCCTGCTGGAGGATGACCACAGCCAGTGAATTGATTTGGTCCTGAAATGAATCAACAGATTAGAGACTACATTGATAGTGGTTCTTAGATCATACAATAATTGAGTATAAAAGTGGGCATTCACTCCAAGTCCCCCTGCTCCCATTCCTATAGCTGAAAAGATGCCTATTCCTGTCAAGATAGGAGCTATTGTAGCTCTGCATGTAAGTGTATGAGGTATAAGTGAAAGGGAGGTTTGTTAGCCTTGTAAGATTTGTCTTTTTGTATGGAGTGTTACTTGTTGGGCCACTACTGCTACTGTACAAGAGCCCTGCCAGACAGACAGGATGCAAATATATGCTCCATGCCCACAGACAAAGAATCACATCCATGGCGTGGGAATATTGGCAATGACTTATGAGACACATTTTGTAAGTGAGAGCAAGAAGATAAAATACCGGGGCTGGGGATTTAGCTCAGCGGCATAAGCGCCTGCCTTGCAAGCAAGCAGTCGTGAGTTCAATCCCTGGTACCGATAAAAAGGAAAAAGACAAAAAAAAAAAAAAAAAAAAAAAAAAGAAGATAAAATACCTACATGTAAAGTGGCCTTGGAGTCATTGGCATCGTGTGTACAGGTCAGATTGCAGGCCAAGAGTTGTCCAGGAGCTAGTGTGAGGGGTTCAACAATTTTGGCTAGTGGGTGTGTTTGGAAGATAGATTATCTATCTGGATTGGGTAAGCCATATATAGATCTTGTTGCAAAGGTAGACATAGCCAATAGTGGGAGAGATAAGTGTCATCATCTGGCAATTGGAGTGCTATTCTTAGAAATTGTTAAGTGTTGTTGAAAAGGCAAGATATGGGTAGGGGTATAGGAATGAGTCTGGAGGGTGAGGAGGGGAGATAGGAGAGTGTCTGTGATAGTGTGTATGGTAGGGAAAAGCTTTT